GGAGGAGTCATTTGTAAAGACGGTTATTGGATGAATTGACGCAGGTGAAAAAATCATTCAATCCATGTGCTCTGTTTTCCTCTCTTCTTGAAGAGAAGGAGCTGACATTGGATAGAAATTTCTCAAAAAAAAAAACAGTTAGTATTTGATCCTATGGTCAAGTGTAACATTTTGGTTTGATATCCCCTCTGTCAACTGCCAAAATATAAAAGACTGCATTCTATCCAACTGTGTGTTCACAGTGATAATGACGCAGACTTCCTAAGCTCTGCACTGAAATGATTGTCCTGCTTACAGGCAACATTAACTTCACTACATGTGCCATGTTAACATAACACTTAACTCTGTCGGCAACACGCTCTCTACATCACTCTGGGAGAACATAATGTAGCCTAATAATAAGAAACGCTAATAGCTACCTCAAGTTTCAGCCAAAACGACACCAAAATGCCTCAAGCTAAACGGTAGAAAGTGTAACTGTATTTCACGGAGGTATTCCAACACCAGGACCTGCAGCAAATGTTCGGATACAAAAGAACACAACAAACTTCATGAAGCACCTGTTGACACACTATATATATTTGAAAACAGAGGGATGCTGCATATTTGACTGGTGGTGTGACATCATGACAAGCACATTAGTACTATTTTATTAGCATTGATCAAACACAAGTACTGGGAAAAAAAACGAAAATATGCAAACCTATTGGACAAACTTCCAACTAAAATAATTTTATGATGGAGAATTGAGAGCATATATTACATAAAGCTGCAACATAAGTGTAGGGGGCAGGATATGTTCCGAATGCAGTGTGTGTGTGCATGTGTGTGTGCTCTTGTAATTTAATGTGACTCTGTGACCTACGTGGTGTAATTTATGACTCAGAGACCTGATTAAAAATGGCTGTGCTTCTTTGCTACAGTCTCTTACACACACATGCACAGACGTACAAATGCATTTCACAGCAAATTGAGAGAAATCATTGAAAAAAAAAGACGTCTTGATTTGTCTGGTGTTAAATTCAATCTTTCAGAAGCTGGGTGAATCTGAATCACAGAGCAGAGACCCCTGACCAACACACACACGGTGGTTACTTAAAGTTATTATATGTGCAGAAAGACTTTAAACATAAATGTAGCAACCAACAACTATTTCATATGTTAAGATACAGTTGTGTCCTGTGAAGGGAATTAAGTCAAACTCCCTCTGAGAGTAAATGTGCTGTGATCAGATTTGTTTTAAAAACCAGGTGTATGTTCTTGTTAGAGTATGTGAGTCCTTCTCTGTGAGTCAGTTGTCCCTCTCCATGTTTATAGAGCCATACTGATTCATCTCCATTCGCCAGAGACTCATCCACTAATTCAAACCAGCGCAAACAAAGTCCAGGTTTGGACATGTCCTTTGGGATGTCACAGTGTTCCCTGAGCTCAGATAATAACTCGGTCAGTAGGATGTTATTAATTCAGACCAAAATGATGAATTCACAAAAACATTCATACAATGCTTTTTTCTATTACAGTTCCGGCACAGCTGTCAAGAGCAGGGCTGTACAGTGCTGCATATACATAGCATGTGCCACAAACATGTTTGTTGAATTTACCCCTGTACCACCGCCCAGATACAGTGTGGTGTGTGGGCATGTATTTGAAATACAAACACTTGTGTGTGTGGCCTTCGATATGAAGGTGTACTTGCTTGTGTGTGAGGGAAGTTGAATACATTTTGCTGATCTATAGGTAACTGTAATCTGTCGTGAGACTAACCAGGTCCTTGTATGCACAGAGTCCATACATCAAACTACAAATCCCACAATTCCTACCAAACAATCTACCGAGCTCAGCCAGAGTCGTTACAACTTGGTACATGAACTGTAATGAAAGGAAATAAAGGGTTATTTTCATGTCTTAAATCCAACAAAGCCGCCCTCAAGCATTTAGGGGAAATTCCACCCTCAAACAGGGAACCACTGCACTGAACCCATGTGCTAAATGAAAACAATATAAAGTGTAAATGTAAAGTCAAACTGCCATGAAGCACAAAAACAGGTCTAATTAGTGTCAGAGCTACACAGCGGCATGTTAATGAGTCATGTCGGTAGCACTGACAAGAACAACAGTACAGCAGAGAGGATGAAGAGTGGCTGTGGATACAGAAATGTATCAGAATGTATCATTTCTTTGAGGAACATGAACAGGTTTTTGATAAGACTTTACACTGAACAAAAGAGCGTCTAACAGGAGCTGTACAGGAACCAAATTATGTTTGAAATCATTTATGATTACAGTAATTATGCAGCACAGCTGAACACTAAGACTCTTAAAAATAACAAAGGTCCTGCACGCACACAGTTTGACTGACAGGTGAATGAGCACTGACTTTGAAACGACTGTTCACACACTATGGAGAAAGTGATGTTTAATGTGGAGAGGGTCTGTCTGTCCCCTACTCTACTGATAGTGGAGTCAGCCAGTGCTAATTACTGTCTGAATGTAGCTGTACACAAGCTGAAGCAGCCTGAGGTTTGTGTTAACAGTCAGTGACATCCGGCCCCGCTCCTCTGCATTTCGATCGTTTCCAGGCCAGTGAAAAGTACTAACCTCAGAGCAGGGACTTGTTTTGGGACAGGACTGTAGTTTCTCCTGTCGACACTAATTGTTCACGTTCCTGAATTTCTAAAAAGGTTCCTATCTTCACTGAAAGGTTCAGACCATGGATAAAGTACTGCACTGCAGTTCTAAGCTATTTAGACAATTTTTATTTTTCAGATTCAAATGAGAGCAACATGATCTTTGAGCACTGAAATCTAATAAGTTCATCTTTGAGTCCAAGTGACAACTGGTCAATATTTGAAGAAATGTCCTAAAGATAGGCTTTTGCATATATGTTCACAAAAATGGGAAGGACTGAAGGACCAACCCCAAAACATAATGCAACATACTGCTAGCAAAGAACTTGCTAACAAAAAACACAAATCCTTCTTGTGTATCATACAAATACACAGGAACAACACACTATTGCACACTTGTATGGATAACTTATAAATCCTGACCGTCCTTGCCTTCCTTGATGCACTCACATCATTCTGCCCAGTTATTGCATGGTTTATACAAATCATAGAACGGTCACTAAGGTGTTCCTGTGACATGGTGGACTCAGGTAAGACTTGAGCTTCATCTCCTTCTGAGTGTGTGAGACCTCAGCTTCTCTGCTCGCTGCTCACAAACTGGAAATAGGATGCCCACTCTGACAAGGTTAACTGACACGATCATTAAGGTGATGAGCAAATGTGCGATGGAAAACTGATGAATGTTAACTTTCCTTTTTTCTGCAAGCGCACCGTGCCTCCCCATCATGATGCCCACGTTGATCCTCGGTAATGGGCTCTCCTCTCTCATTTAGCTTTTACCCAAGATGTTTTCACTTCACCTGCGGCTGCGTCACTGTGTGTGTCGCTCAGTGTGAGTGAGTGTGGGCAGGGCCGGCCCAGGGCGCGTGTTTGTGTGAGTGTTAACTCTACCTCGCTCTCAGACACAGAGAGAAGAGGCACAACTCGCTACATGTCAGTGAGATTCTTATGTAAATAAACACGCATGTAAACACAAAGTGCAATTTATCGAGGTCAACAAAATGTATGTACCAAACCAGAGCAAATTTAAGCACAAGCAGGGGCTATTTAAGTCCTGCTCTCAAACTATAAGACTGTGTGGATAAAGTCTTGATGGCTTGAGTTACCAAAATAAGAAAGCCTGAATGTCACATTGAATTTTAAAGTCTTATGCTTTTCTGTTGATATCACCTGAATTCACTTTATTTCTAACAGCAAATGGTTCAAAGTTGAAAGATAAGACAAGACTCAAAAATATTCCAATTTAGCAAATTTGGAGAAACTGTACAGTCTGAGCCTACATCTCTGCAGATAATACAACACAACTCTGAGCCTGACTCTAACCGGAAACACGTCTATATTAAACTCAGCACAGAGACAATCCTCTGAGCGATTGTGTAACTGACTCTGAGAGCCAGCATCCATCACAGCGGCAGGTTCAAACAAACATCCAACAGAAAACCTGACTGTGATGTGTTCCTGACTGATTCCTATCTGGGATGATTCTATGTGCAGTCAGCAAGTTTTAAATCAGGAACAATCCCTCCATCTCACTCTGTAATCTTAGGAAGCTCAGCAGACACGACCTGTTTTTATCCTTTATTGACTCAGAAAAGCTCAGAGCTTTCTCTCCCCACTTCTAGCTTATCTACTTTCTGTTTACTCTTTTTAACTGTATTTTCAAGTTCATGCCACAGTCACTACATGTGTGATACAAAAAGTTGAAATGCCATATACACTATTTTTATTTAAATATCTTAAATTTGAAACCATTTCAAATTCATAGGCAAGAAATTAACACAAAGGGAAGCTATTATAATTTGGTTTTAATATCAAGATAGTGTCTGAAACTAATGAGTATTTAACCCATTAAATCTGTGTCTGTGTGATGACATAAAGGACATTAAGGACAAGAACTTATTCACTTCTTAGAGAACATACAGAGTTGTCATCACAGGCTGAGGTCACCTGATGTATCATGTTGGTTAGATGGGAAAACTAGGCAATGTATATATGCAGTGTTCAGCAGAAGTGACTGAGTTCTTGTCCTTAACACAAGTCCCTGTGCATAGTTTTTTATATTTAAGAATAAATGAAATAAAATCTGTGGGGGGCAGATTATATGGGGCTGATGCAGCCAATGAAATGAATAATTAAGCTGCAGCCACAACCTACAGGCATATATTTACATTGTATGATCAAAGCACATGATTTGATGTTTTGCATGTTCAGAGTTATAATTTAGCTTTTTCTTTTAGCTTTTCTCCAATTTATTCTGTTTATTTTCATATTTATTTATTCTAAGATTCCATCAATAATTGTATATTCAATAAATATAATTGTTTCCATCTCGTTCTCTTCTGCATATTTCTGCTTTTTCTCAGATGGACAGACAGAATGGAAATAAAAGGAGGAGGGTTGTAGTGGGAGCACTGGGGTGTCAGGTATGATTGTGGGGCACAAGCCTGAGGCACAAAAATGATCAGGAATTATTAAAAGAATGGTACTGGTATCAATACAATCCTTCTAGCCCTATACCCATAACAGGTATACTACTTAATTATTTGTGCTATCCAGGTAGACACAGAGGACGCAGACAAGTATGTGAACAAGCAGCTTTTGTCTGTTTGAAACATAGGAATCCACATAATGAAAAGTCATAATCAAAGTCAAAAATACTGTGGAAAACAAAAAGAAAACCTGTAAACATTATGATTATAAGTTTGTATTGATTGAAATGATTTGCAGGTTCAACCTAATCCACAAAGCAACCATAATAACAGTAGATATAAATGTTTCAGAGAAACAGTGTTATAGAGTACTTTTTAATGCAACCAAAAAGTTATGTTTGCATAGTAAGCTAAAGAATTATTTTCTGAAATCTATGCACATTGACAGATGTTGACATTGGGACCTGACATCAGTATTCCCCTGATGACGTCTAGCTTTAGACGTAGTTTCAACTTTAATAACACCGAAATGTTTCCTGGGTAACTGATCTGTTTCCTCACACTGTGTTAGTCTGGAAGTAGAAGGTTCGACTTATTCCAACATTATGTATCTGATGTTTTCCACTCAGATTTGACTGAAGTATGACAGAGAATTAGGAGATGTGACTTTTGATGCAAAATGAGTCATGTGCACAGGTGGTAATTTGTACCTGGAGCATTACCACAGTGATATAACATCTTTTTAGAAAATGTTGTTTTTCTAAGAGATCTCTGACCTTCAGCTGCCTGGCGAACTCCACATGGTTGTCGTAGACAAGAATGTTGGCGATGAGATCCTCTTTCTTCTTGGAGAAGAAGGACGGCCCCTCTGTGACATTTGGCTCAACTATCACCTTCAGCAGAGTTCGTGGACACTTGGTCCCGTCCCACACCTGACAAACACAAAAACCAGGACACAGATGACCGGTGAGAATCTGCTGACCAGAACAGGACATGGCACATATCAAACACTTATGTAGATAGTGGTTAAAAGCAAACTACTGTGCAGGACCACAAAGGTTGTCCTGCAGCCACATACTGCCAATGTAAACATATGAACTGAAGCAATGGGACATAGGGGACGTTGTCAATGACGACCAGAGAGTGTTCACAACAACGGGCGCTTTTATGATAAAGGCAAAGACAACTCATTCTCCACTTTAAGATCTTCTGTACTGAGTCGAGCGTCACCAAACTTTTCACAGCAGCAGGGCGTGGCTTCAGGGTTCTGTGATCTTTACTTGCTGCAGCTCGAGTAGTGCAGGTCACTTCAACAGTTTCAGAAAGACAGAGGCAACCAGCATTACCACAGGTCGAGCAAACATCCCATTCCAAACAAGTAGATTAGGCATTGTATTCCTAATTCTAATATACACACAGTGACCAGTAAAACTGATATATTGATACATCAATCTGAACTGGGGTTCATCTTGTGTTTTATTGATGCATATAATTAAACAGTATCTGACTGGACAAGCCTCAGTAGAAGAAAAGCAGAAATATGATATGTATTTCTATAAACTTGTCAGTTCATTCACTCAACAGAAAAAACCCCTAAAGAAACACTGTTTATTGCTGTAATTTATGGATTATTTTCATTGATTCATGTGCTATTGTTTTTCATTTTATGTACACTGTTACATAAGGGTGAAAAGATAAGACTAAGAAAACTCAGTCATTAATTTCACAATAAAATTAAAAAAACAGGTAAAAGCAGCAAATACTCCCTTCGGAGAAGACGGAACGAAAAAATGTTTTGTGCTTTTGATTAAAAATTATAATTTAAAGGATGAATGAATCTACTTGAACTGTTTGATATTATTAGTGCTCTAAGATCTGAGCATGTATCCACCGCAGTCACATGTGTTTATGTGAAATTGGGCTGATGTAAAGCGGTTGAAAGCAGGGCAGGTTGATGATGATCTCAGGTGCTTGAGGACAGGTATAACAATCTCTTCTTCATCTAAACACTTGTTATGATTTGGACAACAGCCTCTCCTGGTTGTACGAGTGGTTGTGTGGCAACAGGCTGTTACAGCGGCAGAGATTTAGGAATCAGTGATAGCAGCCTGGCAGAAGACCAGCAGATTTGCTGCCAGACCCTGTTGAAATGTATCTCCTCTATCAGCCTCACTGGCAGGAAACCAGCCATCACTTACAGCCTCATTTCTGTTTTCATCACTGAGATAGAAGGTAACGTAAAAAAAACCTCCGGACCAAGATAAACACGAGTCCAAATCCCATTGAGGCCATCAGACTGTGGAGCAGATTTACTACAAGACTGATGAAGACTGAAGGCAAACAGCTCCATTACTCCAGAGGGAAAAAATAATACTGACTACTTTAGTTTCAAATCAAAGTAAGTTGAAATTTTCTTTAAAAGAAAGGGTAGTGGGAGAAAAAAGAAGAAACATGGCAGCTACCTAAAAAGACAAGTTTCATTAACATCCACAACAAGAACAACAACAGTTGAGTGTGGCTGGTAAAAGAGAAGACAGGAGGAACACATGGATGTAATCTGACAGTAAACAGCCTCCTGGGAAGCTTCTGGGAGGCAGGATTCCCTTTTCTTGTTGTGTGTATGAAATGTTTCAGCATCACCACCATCTCTGATGATGTTAATAAACTAAACAGCGGCGTTGCTGTCACATTATGTGGATGTGATACAACCTCCCGCTCTTTCAAGGCCTAAGGGTTTGCATTCTCCCTTAAAAAGGCTGATACAACTTGTGTCTCCGTGTGCCTAGATGCACTCCTGACAACATGTGGGCACAGATACATAACGTCCCATAGGTGCTCACTTGAATTTAGGTCAGGGGAACGTGAGGGCCAGTCAATGGCATCAATGCTCCTCATGCAGGAACTCCCTACACAGTCTGGCCACATGAGGCTGGGCATTGTCCTGCAGTAGGAACCCAGAGCCACTGCACCAGCGTTAGTTGCGACAATCACTCTGAGGATTCAATCCTGGTACCTACCAACAGTCAGGGTAACGTTAGCTATGACATATGCCTCCCCAGACCATCACTGACCCACCGCAAAACAGTCAAGCTGGATGATGTTACAAGCAGCATAACGTTCAACTCGGTGTTGGCACACTTTTTCCACGCCTGTCACATGTGCTCAGTTTGAACCGGCTCTCATCTTTGAAGAGAACGTGGTACCAGTGGCAGACCTGCCATTTCTGTTGAGGTCTGGCGAATGCCGATCGAGCTGAATGGTGCTGGGCTGTGAACACAGGTCCCATTAGAGGATGTTGGGCCCTCATTTAAAACTGTTACACAATCACTTGTGCTTCCTAAATGGACAGATTGATATCCCTGAGGTTTAACTAACTTGGTGTTATACTGTGGCAATTAACTGTCCCTTAATGTTTTGGAGCAGTGTACTTCCGGTTCAATTCGTTAGCATGGAAACCATGACAATGGAGTGGTAAATATATTCAGTTATTATTTTGTCTAGTAGAAATTTTTCAAGCACAATGATAAACTTTAACCCCACATAACATCATATAACAAAGCTGTTTGTAAATGTATACGTTACCCTCAGCAGGGTGCAGGTGGTGTCGATGGGGGCTTTGGCCAGCAGCTGGCAGGTCAAGTCGAAGTAAGCCTTGGGCTCAACTGCAGACAGTGGGATTGTGGTCACTGCGGGCAGGAGAGTCTGGCTGGCTGCCCAAGATCGCAACTCGTCCACAGTTCTACGGACCTCTTGGTCAAAGTGGAAGGAGCGGCTGGACGTCCGTGGCTCCACAGCTGCACCCACCGCCCCGTCAAACGTCACTACAGAGAAACCGAACGTGTTGACGAGCGTGATAGAGTTGTTGAAGCACTGAGCCTGCAGAGAGATGTGGGATCATTTATAAGTGATCACTTCAACTGGAGTGTAAACTTTCCAGCTTTCAAAATTTCAAAGTAACACAGGAGTAACAGGATATGGTGACTGAAGAAGCACGCTACACCTTGACTCTGTGCATGCGGACAATGTCTCCGATTTGAAAGATTTTGGGATGTTCCTCCAGCTTCTCACAGAAGATTGTGCAGCCAATCTTCTGGTTGGACTGATCGGTGATCTTCAGGCTGGAGCAGTAGTCTGTGGGGAGAAAAAAGTATCTGAAATCAACAAAATAAATAGTAGTGGTAGTACCAGTGTTTAACACATTACATTCACGATCTTCTCTTAAAAAAATACTAAAAACCAATCAAGTTGGGTTGTGTCAGAAAGTAAGGTAACAAATCCGGGAAAAGATTTTCAAGTGTAAATAAGTTCTGACGTTTTGCAAACATATAACCATATGACTTTACAAGTCATCATATATTTTGTTGATAGTAATGAAGTATTGATTAGTCCCAAGCCCTCACAAAAACAACGTATATTTGTGCATGCTCTGATGTGTATGTATGAAAATTCCTATAATATATTTTTACCATCTAATTAACAAAAAGTCGATATAAAGCCTTTTGTCCACTTTGAGTCATATCTATCATGTGGGCATATATAATTGTGCATGTTCATGTGTATCTTGTATCCATAAAACAGGATTTCATCTGTGCTGTTAATATATTATTATTATTGTATAATTTGGACATTCTGGGAAAATAAGGACATTATTGTTGGTCCTCACTTTCTGACACACCTTCAAAGGGTTAAGTCATTTAGTTGTGATTGTTAAGATTAGGTTAAATGTCAAGGGAATACATTATTTCAATGTGAAGGCAATCACGCTTTACGCCTCACGCCTTATCAGATGGATTTTTCTTATATCTCTGTTTACTTTAAGACACCCGAGGGTCCACAAAGACCAGGATGATGAACTTTGGACAGTTTCCACATGAGACACTGCTTCTCTTTATTATCTCCCCAACACACACAAACACACACTTCATCATCCTGTCGCGCATGGCTGCAGGTGAGCTCAGACTGAACAGTCTGTTTAATGTCTCACCCTTTTGCTCCGCTCTACAGTTACCTCAGCTCACCACCTCCTGTTCCTCAGGTCAAACTGTTTCCTCTGCACTTCATGCTGATATCAGTTGCAGTGTGTTAACAGGTAAATAAAGATATTGACTAAACAATGTTGTGGTGGTTCTTTTAGTTTAGGTTAGTGCAGCCTCCTCTGTTATGCTGACAGGTACAGACATTTTTAAAGCAGGATAAGTGGCCTGTTCCAACAAAAAGTCAATTATTACACCTGAAACACCAGCATCTTGCTTGGATTTCTTGGGGGAATACATATAGGGGCTGTAGTTATTTATATAAAATCACAGAGAAGGTTGTTGTTTTTCACAGCACACTCAGCAATTATCAAGGTGAGAAGTGAAACTTAGGCTTACTGATGATTTAAGTGAGTATGTTTATTTGTATAGCACCTTTCGAGAGCAGAGACGTCACAAAGTGGTTTACAGGGTAAAATAAGCATACATTACATTTAGTCATTTAGCAGACGCTTTTGTCCAAAGCGACGTACAAGGGAGAGAACAATCAAGCTAAGAGCATTAAAAACCTGGTGTAACAATAAAATACTGCTTATAAAACGACATAGAAAGAATAAAAAAGAAGTGCGGGCCTGTTACTGCTTAAGTGCAGGTTAAGCCAAGGTGCCAGTTAGGAAGGGAGGTGCTCTTTGAAGAGTTGGGTCTTCAAGCGCTTCTTAAAGGTAGAGAGGGACGCTCCTGCTCTGGTAGTGCTAGGCAGGTCGTTCCACCAACGTGGAACTACAACTGAGAATAGCCTGGATTGCCTTGCTTGCACCGGGGCAGTGCCAGACGACGCTCACTGGATGAGCGCAGCGTCCTGGGAGTAACATAAAACTGCTGCATAAGCATATTTATGCATACAAATAAGAAATACAATAAGAAAGCGATAAAAAAACAAAAAGACAATCACACAAAGGCTAGTCTCAACAAATGAGTCTCAAGCTGCTTTTGTGTCCACAGATCTTAAGACCAAAGGGAGAGAGTTCCAAAGTTTAGGAGCCACAACCCCAAAAGCACAGTCTCCCTTTAGTCCTAAGTCTGGATCGGGGGACAACCAGCAAACCCCAATCAAAGGACCTTAGAGACCTGCAGGTGACATAGGGCTGCAGCAGATCTCTTATGTAGGCAGGTGCCTAACCAGGCAGATCTCTATAGGTGATCAAAAGAACTTTGAATTGGATTCTGAATTTAATGGGTAGGGAGTGAAGAGCAATCAGAATTGGTGTCACATGAGACCTTTTGAAGGACCTGGTAAGGAGTTTAGCAGCAGCATTTTGGACCACTTGTAAACGATCCAAGAAAGTTTTGCGGAGGCAGATGAAAAGTGAGTTACAATAATCAAGATGAGATCATATAAAAGCATAAATGAGAATTTCCATCTATGCTTGAGACACAATGGACCTTAGTTTTGCAATGTTTCTCAGCTGGAAAAAACAAGAGCGATTCAGACATTTGTCATGTTAGTCTAGAGTCAGGGACCTGTCCATATAGGGAAGCCTAGATTTCTTATGCAGGATTTAACCATCGAGGTAAGAGACCCAAGACCATCCCTTAACTTCGGGACAAGAGGGGCAGAAATGAGGACTTCTGTTTTATCTGCATTTAACTACAGGACAGGCACAGTTCATTATAGCATTCAGAGTTTTAGATGAGGAGGTAAAACTTCTCACAGATACTGAAAAACTCCTATCAGAGAGGTGAGAGGAGAACCACTAAGGGGCTGACCCAGCAATACCAACCCACTGCTCAAGTCTCTCAACCGAGATACAGTGGTCCTCAGTAACATGTGAGCGATATATCCACATACGTGAGTGATCACACTGTACAACCAAACAAAATAATAATGGTGAAACAAGACTGTGGTGAATTGAAGGCTCACTGTCCCAGTGGGCCCTACTCAGCTGAGTCTCTGTCACAAGATCATTCCTCTGTCACTCTCCCAGAACCATTTTCTTTGACAGTTTTGAGGCTGTATTATTTGAACCCATCACATGTGACAGTTGTAATTCTGTCATATTTCCCCCCCTTGTTCATTTCTGCCGTAAAGACTTTGGGAGACTTAAAAGCGCTCATCTTGTATTTATTTCCTCTGTGGCAGCAAAACATGTCACAGCAGCCTCAAGAGACTCCTGCAAGTTATACTGGACTAAACAAACAAGTTTAAGGTTGATTGACTCAGAAAGAATCACACTAAGCAACACTGAGGCTGTAATTCATAATGCAACACACTGTAAGACAAAATGTGTTCTTGCAATTGCTCTGGTACTGACTCCTTTTATAATGAATAGACTGCTTATGTAAGATAAGAAGTCCTTTATTAGTCCCACAATGGGGACATTTTCAGTATTACAGCAGCAAAAGTCAAAAAGACATCA